TAGGCGTTTTCTCGCTGTCATCGGCTTCTTTTTTCTCTGTCTAAATTCAACAATTTACAGCGCAACTATGAAATACAATCAGCGAAGTCAAAATATAATCTGACCACAACGCTTGACACAACGGGGCAAATAGGCTGGACGCCTGTCGGAGTGTCGGCCAACACCATGAAGTGGCTTGTAGCAGGTGGGGCAATTGGAGCTGGACGAGCATCGGAGTCGACTTGGTAGTTTATGAGGCCCCATTGTTCCAAAAACGAATGGACTCTTAAAACACAACTTCCTTTAATTACTAATTGCAAAGTAAAAAAAAATCCATCTCAGAGAGTAAGATCCATAGAGCCCCTCACCTAACAATGGAACAGACATCCCCAGCAAGATTTCTTCGGCATGCTGTTGCGGAGAGGTACTCAAAAGGGTTTAGCCGGTACGTATCAACCATGAAGTTACGATAAGAGAGGTACCTGAATTAATAAAGATCTAGCTAAACAACTAGAGACTCCACCCTTGCAGCTTCAACTCACACTTCCGGTGTTTTGCTCTTATTGCGCCCATTGAAGAACTCAGGCACAGCTCGTTTTTCGATTTGATGAACAGCATTATAATCAAACCATGCTGCATAAGATGGTACAACAATGTAGTGGGTTTGCTCAATTACGTTCCCTTCGGCTTCCTTAAAATAAATAGAACGATTAAACAATGCCTACTTCATTGTAAAAAAAAACGTTAGCAACAGAAAGGTTTAGAGGCTGTGGTGAAAATAACTACCTTGCCAGCACTGTGGTGAGACTCATCGTCCAGGTCAACAAGTTTTTGCCCTTTGGGAGCTGAAAACTCAGGATCTTTTTCACGGCCTAAAAATGACTTATACTACTGATATTCGGAAACAACAGCGATTTCAATTTCCTTAACCCTGCACATGCTCGGCAAACATGGTTTAAAAAAAACCTCAAAAAAAAAAAAGATAAAGAACGCAAATTAAGCCAAATCTAGCGGCTATTTCGGCATTTCCATGAATATTTGGTAGGTCCCATAGCACAATGAGGAACATAAATGTAGAAAAAAAGACCTGAGGAAATTAAGAATCTACAAGCCAGAACATGCACTAATGAAAAAACTGTAATCCCTACCTTTCGGAGGTTCCACTTTTACAGCAACACCACTTCTGCTATCGTCATCATCACCTTGCATAGAAACATCACCATCGTCATCATCGCGTTTACGTTTGGTACCACTAGAACATCAGAATCCGTAATGATTTAACGTCTTGCCGATGCAAAAAAAAGTAAATTCGCAAAACTGTAGAATAAAGCATACCCTTTTCTCATTTCGGTCGATAATTTACAAAGTTGACCGTGTTCTGAAAAATAAAGCAGGTTTTCATACAAAAATTTACATTAGAACCCCAGCAAATATCTAGGTAAAAGGTTGAACACTTTGAAAGAATATAAATCGAGCAAGTTGGGAAATAAAAGGAGTAGACGGCACTCCTGCTTTTCGTGCAGACTGAAAAATAACGTCCGAGTTCAGATCACTGAGCAGGTGGTACATAAGGTCCGGATATAAAGTAGCGAAGAGAGCAACGGAATACATTCAAAAAATACGAAAAAATGCCTGATCGAACGCCCTTCGAACCTCGAACGCCTTTAAAGTTGGTTGCGGCGCAGTTGCGTCGCGTACTAATCCGCAGAGAAACGAGACATAACGGTGGTTCTGGAGTGTGCAGAGATTGCGCGGCAATATTTAATTACAAAATTCTATTGTAGAGTGTAGGTACTGTACGAGTATTGTTTTTTGGGAAAAGTTCAGGGAAAATACCTATTGTTAGAGTGTAGTATGCTACCTTGAAATCAACTTCTCCCGTTGAGATCACCTTGGAAGATTGGGAAAGTGGACTGAACTTCAACATTCTGTGGGGACCATTGCTGAAATTCAGGGATAATTAACCTTGACGACTGCTCCATCTTTGAATCAAACTCCCATCACTCGAAGTGTAATGCATTCAAGGGTTGGAGGAAAATGCAGCTTTTCAATCGTAAAGATATCAGTCCCATGGAAGGAAACTTGCAGCTCGAAATATCAGCTGCACAATTTCCAGAAAAGTGTCCGAAAGAAGCTCGCAGAATTATTCACTGGCCGAGTGGGTGTTCCCGTATGTTCAGGGGGTGAATGCTTGCCTTGAGCAGGTTCCCATTCTGAGACTAATCAGCCAGAACTGGTTTCCAGACCAAAGAAGGCATCGGGAGAGTAGTTTGTCATATCAGATGACTCTATTTACTCAAACAGAAAAAAGCTAATTTCCCTGCAAGCAGACTGTGAAGATTGGCCATTAGCAGGCAAATCGACGTTCTCCGAGCACTTGGAATGCTCACTGGTATCGCAATGGCTGAATTATACACTACGCTACCTTGAAACCCTCAACACAGCCGCTTAATCTCCCCATACTTGTATCACAGTCTTACCGTTTCTCTGATCAGTAACAAGTACCTTGAGAGAGAGCAACATTGAAACACTTTATTCACAAATCTAAACTATTTACAGGGTTAACACTAGACAAGTTAGATAGGTCAATAGAAATTTTACAAAACTTAAACGTTAAAATTGGCGAATATTGAAGGCGAGTATGAGATTCTGATATTCAGATAAGTCAATGTCGAAAACAAGTGCTCACAGCAAAAGTCAAGACTATATGTACGAGTAACTCAATAATTAAACAATATATAAAGTAATACTTCAACTAGTTGTAAAAATTCAGCACATAACAAGTTCGGAACAATGATCTCTGCGAATCGGATCAATGCTTATCGGAAAAAGACAGACCGAGTCATTTTCTGAAAAACCTAGACGACCTTCGTAATGGAGTTCGGAAATTCCGAGCGGACTTCAGCGAAGATAAAGGTGTTCGCTTCTTGCCTGATAACTTCACTGCTGAGACTGGTGTGGGCTTTTTACTTGATACCTTCACTGCTGAGACTGGTGTCGCTTTACTTGAGTTCAAGCCCACTTTTGGCGTAGAAGATTTTGGACCCGCTATCGAGGTTGTGGGCTTCGGCGAGGAATGTTTTGGACCAGTCTGAAAACATTAAAAACCTCACTTTCACCGACATTGTTCAGCCAAACACGCTAAAAACAGACGAATCGTTTCGTTGGAGTAATCGTGCTGACAATGGATGCCGCTGTAGTGTTCGTGCTGTCGTAGAGAGTAGAGTCGTAACGGAGGCGCTGAAATCATCCAATCAATTATAACTAACAACTGCAATTGTATACATCATTACCTTACGAAGCGGTTCTATCTTGGATGAGCTTACAGGTCTTTGCTGCAATTTCAGTCGAGCTGACTGCGGGGTCCTCAATGCGCTTGTTGAAACCAAGCGATGCATCTGCTGAAAAAAAATCATATGCCAAGTTCACCGCAATGTTCAAATCTTGTAGAAAAATCACTTGCCCTATTTTTACGTTCTATTTCTTTACTAGCGTTGTACTCATCCAGTACAAATTTGACATAGTCAGGTGGTGTTAATCCGTCCACTCTAGAAAAAGTAAATATCCTAGAATCATAAACAGAAAAACGAATCCAAATTGTCCAAAGAAATATACTTGCCTTATATCATCGCCTGGATGAGACTGACGATACTCCTCGTAAGCATTGATTAGCTTTTTCATAAGCTTAGGAATTGTGTGGTCGTTAAGTGTTCTTTCGATCTGAAGCGTGTATCGCTTATGAAAAATTTTTTTCCAAGATTAGGATTTCAACTCCCGCTAGCCAGTCGAAAGATTTAGCGCCATTCGAACGTTTGCCGTTGTTCCCGAAAGCTACTCGTCCAAAACGCTCAAATTAACTCGTCTAATTGAAACAAATGCTTCAGAAAAATGCGACACGAAATTGAGAAAAGCGATACAAAGAAACCGCAAGAAGAACTGAGGACCTTCCAAAAAAACTCAGATGAAAAATTATGACCATGTTCAAAAAGTTTCTTTAAAAATTTTAACACGTTGACGACAACGCACGTTTGGACATTTTTGGCCGCGTGGGACAGACGCAATTTTGCGGCAGCTTCGACCGCGGGACACATATGTCCCGCGCTGTCCCTTGAGGCGCACTTTTCGAAGCTTGAGTGTAAAACCTACTTTCAACTACTTATCGCTACTTAGCAAGTTGACTAATAAAATGAAAAGCACGCAAAAAATGTTCTACATAATAAATATTCCGCTCTAACAAATGTATATACGGACATACAAATGGCTGGATTAGAAGAACACTTGGACGATTCTATACAACTCGACCATCTTCTGACACCGCAGTGCGAAGTGAGGTGATCCAGATCACCGGAGAATGCGCAAATTCGGACGACGGAGAGCAAGGAGCTACTGAAGAAGAAGTAGATGATATGAAGGAAGATATGGAATCTAAATTAGAAGAAGAACAATCCGATAGTGAAAGCATGGTGGTTGAGCGATGTTTCGCCGCACGATGCTTGGACTTTTAGTGGTGCCTCCGGCTTACATGATGTTGTTTATGACTGTCAGGAACCAACAGACTTCTACGAACTGTTTCTGAATAGAGATATTCTGGCCTCATCGTTAGAGAAACCAATAGCTACGGGATTCGACAAAATGAAGAATATCAATGAGAATGAGCGCTGATGAAAGAAGGAAACATTTATTCAACTGCTATTAACTTACAATCAACAGCTTGCTTCCACTGTTTTTATTTTACGTGTTTTTGTTGGTCTCCATATAAATGCCGAATTTCAAAGTAGGNTCGTCCAAAACGCTCAAATTAACTCGTCTAATTGAAACAAATGCTTCAGAAAAATGCGACACGAAATTGAGAAAAGCGATACAAAGAAACCGCAAGAAGAACTGAGGACCTTCCAAAAAAACTCAGATGAAAAATTATGACCATGTTCAAAAAGTTTCTTTAAAAATTTTAAAAAGTCTGTACCTTGGCATCCAAGTATACGTTGTTTTCTCGACCGCGATTTTGGAAATACTCGGGATCTTTCTTCTTCTCCTCCAGTGCAAGCTTCTCCGCCCACTTCTCTTTCCACCTGGAATTAGTTATAATGTAGTAATTAATGCAGCCGAATGGAATAGGTTTTCAAGTATCCTGATATTTACGCTGTCAACACGTCGAAGACATCCTTCCGTGCGGCATAAAGACTCTCAAGACGAGAAATTTCGGTTGAAATCTTATCGATGTCCTTGTCTGAGTGCTTGTCTGCAAATCTATGAACATTATTCACAAAAATAAGTTGCCATATAAGAAAGCGAACGTTCCAAGGAGTGGCGCACCTGGATTGTAACAAGGCGGTATGAGACGCTCTATATCCGCCACGTGACAAGCCTCCCATAATTCGGAGAGACGCGAATATAGTTCCAGCCATCGGAATTCCCTCTCTTGTACGTATTCAGTGTACATTTGACACCACTAGAAAACAACACGTGATATGCAAGATAATTCCAATCGACTAAATAGAACACTGTGACAACTTACTCGATCATAGTATTCTTCCAAGGTGTCTACCACAGATTCGGTAACACTAGTCTCTTCGTTGGCGAAATCGACGGTAAGAAGGGATCGTAAATCTTCATCTTCAGAGAGAGAGTCGTTACCTATTACAGCAATATTAATATTTTGGGCCAGAAATGAGACTAAACTTGCTTGCTTGTTACTCTACATGAGGAAAAATCAATCGACCTCAATGACAAGAATCAAATCTAAAATTTTTTGAAAAAAAAGCGGAGGACAACATACCAAGCTTTCTTACAAATTTGTTCAGCTCTTTCTGCCACTTTTGAACTTTCTTGACTCGCTTATGCAGAACGTCTTCTAGTTCCAAACGTCGAGCATCGAGGGCTCCCAATTTATCACCCGAGATCAGTTCCTAAACGCAATTATATTACCTCTACGTTGTTCCAAGAAACCATAGTTTGTGGCAAAGAATATAAAAAATTATTGGCACTAAAGTGGACCCAAATTTTCAGAACAAGAATAGGAAATATAACAATGAATGGGTTTTCGGAAGAAGCCTCTTGGATGTGAACGTTTGTGACTCGTAAACAGTTTTCGTGTTTTTATGAGAGACGAAGACTCAAGACGATTAAATATCAAATTCGCGTGGGTAAACTAACATCAGACTCCGTCGGAATTGAGAACTCGCTATCGTCAAAACCAAGCCGGAAACAGAGATGGTGGAGGCGGTCAATTAACTCCGCCTGTTCATTCTGACGAGTTTCAAAAAGCGGTAGTAACTTTCTTATTTCAGAATTTATAGAGTTCCTCTGAAACAAAAAGCACTGAGAACTGCTGATCTTACCATCTACACAGATTGTTAAAATACCAATTCAATCGATCCTGGTGGTGCCCTCTTATTTTCCCACTGCTCCATTCCCAGCTGTGAGCGCATGCGATTGATTTTCCTTAAACCGTCGCTGATTTCGATGCCTACATTTCTGATCATGCACTCCTCGGATTTGACCTGAAACAGAGTTTTATTAAAGTTTGTATTAAAAATGTCTTAGCTAATATTTATAGTCGTGGGCGTTCGAATGCACTAAATATTTTCCTAAATAATATAATGGTCTGAAGCTCGCAACATAACCCACCATGTCGCTAAGTAAGCTACAAATATGCTCAAACGCGGTATTGACCCGGCTAGTCCTAAAAGTACTCAAGTAGAAGTCAAAAAATCATTTGAAGAAAAAAGAAGGTTCGTTTACCTGGCAGCTTCTGACATGTGCACCTCATCCCATAGTCCATTGAGCTTATCAATTGCTCCACGTATATTGTTCACAACGTCATGGAAAGAATCGTTTATAGACAGTCTGAAAAATGGTAGTTTTTTGGAAATCACTGTTTCCTCGTTGTGCATGATAAGAAGAATACCTTCGAGGGTTCACAGTCTTCCCTACACGGAACGGTGAGACCATAGTACTCTTTTGCAGTGGTGTACTAGTTGCAAAATCAACTAAAACTCAATTTGAACAGGAAAAAAGACGAATCTACATAAAAACCGTCACCAGAACGATAGAGCTGATACAAAAATGAATTTGAATACCCGAGCTCATTACCCACCCAGTGAAAACCCGCTGAAACAATGGGCAAACAAACAACACACCTCTACCAAAAAGTATACGAAAAACTTAGCAATCAATAATGCCCGTCCGACGTGTCCGGTCGTTCAGCGAGGGCCGAGGCCGAATTCGAATCATGTCTGTTCGCGCCGAAATCATGGCAGGCGGTAAAGTCAAGGGATTTCAAAGTGGATTTTTGGCCTTTGGAATCCGTTGCATAAAAAAATTCTCATTGGATCAGTATGTTTTTGGTCCTGCGGATTCTACGTGAATGGAGAGAAGGTAATAAAAGGAAGGGTTTATACCTATCGCCCAAGGAACAAATGATGAACAAAGAAAAGAGCAACCACCTAATGGGTAGGTTTGAGGATGGCGCGACCCAGTTCAGAGGGAATGTCAAATCTTTTAGATCAAAGAGACCGGTTCGATTTTGTGGGTGGGTGCGGAATTGAGAGCTAATGACAGGTCATTTGGACCCATCCATATAGTTTTGACTTTTTCGATTTTGTTAGTTACAAATGTTTTCCGCTATTGTATATTTGTTTTTACTGGCTGAAATTAAATAGAAATGAATCAACGGTCAATTGAATGTTCGATTCCTCCTCCCTCATACCTTTTTGCATGAGGTCACCACCTCACCCATCCCCGGTGCTCCTCCCTCCCTGCCTTGGGCTAGAGCGAAAAACTAAATTCCCTGACCAAAAAAAGTTTTTAAGCCCCATTACAAGCTCGTTGAGCTGGCTCGCCCTCTTTTTTTGTTCTTCAGCGCTATAAGAATGAGGGTGTAAATGTTGCCGAAGTGAGGTGCTCCCTCCCCCCTCACTGAATTTACATCCTAATTCTTTTTTATGCTTTTTTGATCGAATAAAGATTATATCGGCCTTTATGGAAAATTCAAAATAATCCAAATTTAGAACAATCTGATTATTTCAAAAATTCTTTGATAGCGGGGTTGATCCAAATGGGCACCGACGAAGTACCATTCTCCTCTGATTAAGACGATTAAGGTTGGTCAGATGCTGATTAAGAGAGGCAAAATACCTAGAAGGCAGATTGCACATTAAGTCGATCCCATGTGGGAATGAATATGGTCTTCCACCTTACCGCTAATATTTTCAGCAAGGTCCATACTCGGACTTGGACTCCATACTCAGAATCTCATCCCTTCTTCGGGAATGAGGAATGTGGAACCTTTAAACTCCAGTACTCCTTCGAGGCATTACTACCTTCAACCAGATAGAATTCGCCTATATTTTCGGTTATTGATACCCAATAGTCTCCTAATAATAGCATGCTCCCTAATCCGGAATTGGCTCCTCTCAAGTATGACCTCACTACCGACCTTGAAAGCGACAGCGTCGAAATGACCGTGGCTGTCAGTTTCGAAGACAATCAAATTCGTAAGGAACTCAGACTCAGGGGAGCCTAACGCGTCTCACAGTCGACAGACTGAAGAATCAATAATTATTTTATTTATTTATTCAGATAATTTCGAATTATTACTTTCATTACGGGTGTGTATCGAAACAATTGTAGTGAGATATTAATGTTTGAAGAAATCATTTGAAGGGGAAAAAGCTGAGTGACAGAATGAATGATGCCTGAGCCACTGCATAATCACGAAAAAGCTAAACCAAACAACCGAAACGGGAGGTCAACTGGGGGATTTAGAAAGAAGCATGGCGTATTCGCTTTCAAAGTTCGTTTTTCTGATTTCATTCTGACATTTTTATGGTGAGTAGTCCTAGTTCATGGTGAGTCACCTAGACCCAATTTTGATGGTCCGATTTGCTTAGGGACAAAAAACGAAAAAATGGAAATGTCACGTTTACAACCCTTCAACATCGAACCTGTTCCCCTGGCTCAGAAATATCGCTCAGAAGCTCTTTGGATGTTTGTTGGGGTCTTTTTGCACTCTGAAGACGTTGTTTGACAATGAAACTCGTTGAGATCCTTTTTCAGGTTTCTTGGCAACGCTACTCAGAACGTTTTCCGAAGTGACGTACACCAACGTCGATTGAATGAATTTAATCTCCTTCTTCTGAATGAATTTCACAGATAAGAAAAAGTTCGAATAGCTGCAACCCTTCTTAATCCTATTTAACTCATTATTTTAAAATTTTTCTAAAAATATTTTTTCCGAAAAAAAAAACCTGCTAAAACTAGATCCGTC